ATGTTGCAGAAGATGATCGTCAGTACTGATCGGTCGCAATAGATGATCGTCAGTACTGAAGTACTGATCGGTCGCAGAATAACAGTACAATATCGCTGTTGGATTTGCTCGCATCATTGGTCCACCCTGTACATTAAAATGTCCATGAAGTAACAGATCATTTCAGCGTAAACCCTATGAAACAACGAACGCTGACTCACCCTATACAGTTCATGATGAGGTATCGTTCCTCCACCGTTCACCTGCCATACAAATTCCTCCAACTGGTTACTCTCGGTCACTACACCCTGTATATTCGGGCCGCGAATACGTGTTAAGGGACAGTTTCGTGCGGCCTCGTCGTTCGAATTACTGAGGAATTAAAAGGGGAAGAATTCGATCGAACAGAGGAAACGGAGTCATGTAAAACGGGTGCGGTCCGTAACAGATCTGGAAGGGGATTACGGCGTTCAATTATGCTGTTGGAAAGAGAAAAACTGACAAGAATGCTGGAGTAGTGAACAGGATTTGGAATATTCACGTCGCACAGGTGATTATGCTGTAAAAAACACGATAAGTTTACTACCTGTGTTGAAAAGTCTCGCCGTGTCAACAAGAGCTTGCACCGTGTCACAAATCGATGAAAACGATGATGAAATTGCATGAACTGGACTTCGTGTCCACCACATGCTCCAGATCTAGCCCCCAGCGACTCTTTCCTGTTCTCAGACCTCAAGAGAATGTCCGCTGCAAAGAAATTTATCGGCGATGAAGAGCCTAAGGCCTATTTTGAGGCTTAAGACAAATAGTATTTTGAAGTTTAAAACAATTTCTTTCTGCCTATCTTTGCCCCTATTATTTCGTCGAAGGTCTCAAAATAAAATGACTGTACTGTTCTTCCAGTTGCAAATTTGTAGTTTGCATCAACAGGCACAGTTTTTCTTCCATTTCACTGCTTCACTTTTTCTCCCATTCTTGAATTTATATATCGATGATTTTGAAACTCCCGTCATTTGCGAACACATAGCAACGATATACGAAGATTTTGGAATTATGAGAGCGACTTATACATTAATAATGATGTTTTCATTACCAGACAGACTTACTTAGGCTTGGCCTTTAAGGATAGTCGAGTCCAGCCATGCACTTGTATTTCAGCCTAGCACCACCACTAATGAGACCTTTGGCGAATCGGAAGAGCGCTATCTGGTGTTGAATCATATGTGAAAATCTGCGCATAGAGAAATGTATACGTTTATTTATTCCCGTTAATAGACACAACTTATTAATTCAGCTTTCTTTTGAATCGTGGAAAGTACATTTTGGAAAAATAATGGTTGCATTTCGCAACTTCAATTCAATAGGAAAGTTGTGCCTATTCGGCAAACAAACATGTATGTTTTATACGCACAGATTGAGACACAAAAAATCCGCACAGGTCGCGAATTGTTCTGAATCTTTCTGACAGTCGGTTGTACGGCACTGACCGCAGTTTTCATCACATCATTCCTAGCCAAATACACTCTTACAATTTATATATTTCGTTTATAAGCGAAGTAAAGCATACATTGTTGAACAGTCTTGATCACTTAATCAATATGCTATCAAAGAATAAACAAACGTTACTCAGCAGAACCCACGAATTCCTGTCTCATTCGTTATCTCTGGGGAATTATTAATAATTTCGTTGGCTTTGAAGATCATCCAAATTCACACAAGCTTTCGTAGATTTTTATTAGCATGAAAAACTCACCTGGAAATGCTCAAGAAACACCAGAGGTATTACAGTCTGCATCAAGTATTTCACACATCCATTTTGCTAAAATTCAATATTCTTCACCATATACATCTACTAGAATTTACGAGAAAACGGAGAGTTGAAACTTTATCACATATGTCATCGGTGACATACCCTTTTTAAGTGCGATTTTCATTTATTGTAGCAACAATAAAATTCTTATTCATAGGTCCAACAGACCGAATTGATCCTGATGATAACTCTCATTATTTATTGAATTGTGGAATTTTCGAAATTGAAATAAAGGTTGCGTTTCGTTTCTGATATGATGGGAAACGGACGTGCCGATAACGATCGTCCACGAAGAAGGTACGCAAACGTCATTGTTGGAGATGAAACTCCGTTTTGTTTTGTAACTATCCACCGTCACAGAACGTGCCACCAATAAAATAAACACTTTTTGTGAAAAGTCTTTTATAAATGTTAAAGAGGAACAGCACTCTCATTCGCGCCGGTTGGAGGCCGGGTGGACCGGATGTCCCCGTGGAAACTGGATTGTAATGAGTGATTTTTTTGCTGGTATCTTTTTGGCAACACTGTTTTTGACAGATTACGTGTGAATCGTGTCTTGTGCCATTGTCAAACTTGTTCAGTTTGGTCTATAGTTTAACCATGAATCGACTTACGAATGAACAAGGCTTGCAAATTATTGAATTTTATTATCAAAATTCATGCTCGGTGAAGAAAGTGCATCGTGCACTTCTTCCAATTTATGGGCAGTTTCGTCGGCCTACTGAGGGAGCTATTCGGAAGCTTGTGACTGAATTTCGAACCCAGTTTACATTATTGGACATTAAACCACCAACACGCATACGTAGAGTGAGGACCGAAGAAAATATTGCGGCTGTATCCGCCAGTGTTCGTGATGACCGTTAAATGTCGATTCGCCGCCGTTCGCAGCAATTGGGTCTCTACGTTGAAAATTTTGCGAAAGGATTTGGGTGTAAAACCTTATAAGATACAGCTGGTGCAAGAATTGAAGCCACACGACCTTCCACAACGTCTATTTGGTGAATGGGCGCTGGCAAAGTTGGAGAAGGATCAACATTTTTATCGAAAAATTGTGTTCAGCGACGAGGCTCATTTCTGGTTGAATGGATACGTTCACAAGCAAAATTGCCGCATCTGGAGTGAAGAACAGCCACAAGAATTGCAAGAGCTACCGATGCATCCCGAAAAAGTCACTGTTTGGTGTGGATTATGGGTCGGTGGCATCATCAGGCCGTACTTTGTTGCTCAAAATGGAAGAATTGGATATGCCTGACATGTGGTTTCAACAAGACGGTGCCACATGCTACACAGCACGCGAAACAATGGCCCAATTAAGAGCCGCCTTCGGTGAACGGTTTATATCACGTCTCCCGAGCAGGAGGCGACTCAACAAAAAATATTAAGTGTTTTCATAATAAAAAGTATCGATAAAAAAAGAGTTGGCAGTATTGCTTCGAGCAAGACCGTTGCCCCCTCCCGACGAAGCTCCTGTCAATTCTGATAGGAGGAGGATGGACAATGCTCCGAGAGAAAGCAACGTCCAATAAACCTAGAGAGAGAGATAAAGGATTTCATTAGCAATAACAGAATTCTGAAAGATGTTTGTCTTTATGAAAGTATTGAAAAACACTTTTGTTTTCCTTTTTTTTTTCTGATTGATTGGGCCGTTACATGATGAAGATCCATAGTAATTTCAAAAACTACACCTCAACGATTTGATCTCCACAAACTTTATTTGAAAAATATATCACAACATGTTTCGCTAAGTTCGCTTGATCACACGGAATATTTTCGGGCGTTTGTGTTTCCACTTGGAACTTGTGATATTTATTGTAATCCAATCATATTAGTCAAAATAGGGTTAATATCACGGGATTGGGGATATTCAGCTATAAACCTTCAATGCGACACCCTCAAGCTTGTCTCGAAACCTACTCATTGTAGGGTGGCCGATATCTAAGGTCAAAGCTTAAAAAACAATTCTGCACTTATTTGCATATACTACGATTCCTATGGGTTTATTCATGAATATTGTAGAGAATTAGGTTCACTACAACTTTTGATTGTTTTTTTTTTATTTTCAACTATTTTCGAGATAGAGGGCAGAGAGTGCGCAATGTTTAACTATTTAGAGTATCATGGTAGGACGGCAGCCTGGTGGGTTGACGTTGGTGGTCAGTTCTACTCAGTCAATCGACCGTTGTGCGAACCCGTGGTTCGAACCGCAAGGCCGGACGATCGATTTTCACTTCCTATCGTCCAACCCGCGCTAGGAATCACACGTTAAAAGGTAAGACCTTGTTAGTCCTTAGCTCGCTCAAGTTTCGACTTTTGAGAGTTGTCGTTCATAAGAGGCGACAGCTGGTTAACGGAAAAACAGATTTTAACAGATCACTCGAGGTCA